TTTATTTTTATCCGAAATTAAAGCCAAAATACGGAGTTTAGAACGGCTACTGATCAAACATAACAGACATTGATTGTTTGTTTAATTTAACAATATATACTATTTACATTATTCGGACTATTGTCCTCATCTTTGTCGCCATATTTATTACAACGTTTCGGCCCTTCAGTATCTGTCTATATTTCTGAGATCAGGTATTATGTACACTATTTACATTATTCGGACTATTGTCTTCATCTTTGTCGCCATATTTATTACAACGTTTCAGCCCTTCAGTATCTGTCTATATTTCTGAGATCAGGTATTATGTACACTATTTACATTATTCGGACTATTGTCTTCATCTTTGTCGCCATATTTATTACAACGTTTCAGCCCTTCAGTATCTGTCTATATTTCTGAGATCAGGTATTATGTACACTATTTACATTATTCGGACTATTGTCTTCATCTTTGTCGCCATATTTATTACAACGTTTCAGCCCTTCAGTATCTGTCTATATTTCTGAGATCAGGTATTATGTACACTATTTACATTATTCGGACTATTGTCTTCATCTTTGTCGCCATATTTATTACAACGTTTCAGCCCTTCAGTATCTGTCTATATTTCTGAGATCAGGTATTATGTACACTATTTACATTATTCGACTATTGTCTTCATCTTTGTCGCCATATTTATTACAACGTTTCAGCCCTTCAGTATCTGTCTATATTTCTGAGATCAGGTATTATGTACACTATTTACACTTATTCGGACTATTGTCTTTGTCTTTGTCGCCATATTTATTACAACGTTTCAGCCCTTCAGTATCTGTCTATATTTCTGAGATCAGGTATTATGTACACTATTTACATTATTCGGACTATTGTCTTCATCTTTGTCGCCATATTTATTACAACGTTTCAGCCCTTCAGTATCTGTCTATATTTCTGAGATCAGGTATTATGTACACTATTTACATTATTCGGACTATTGTCTTCATCTTTGTCGCCATATTTATTACAACGTTTCAGCCCTTCAGTATCTGTCTATATTTCTGAGATCAGGTATTATGTACACTATTTACATTATTCGGACTATTGTCTTCATCTTTGTCGCCATATTTATTACAACGTTTCGGCCCTTCAGTATCTGTCTATATTTCTGAGATCAGGTATTATGTACACTATTTACATTATTCGGACTATTGTCTTCATCTTTGTCGCCATATTTATTACAACGTTTCAGCCCTTCAGTATCTGTCTATATTTCTGAGATCAGGTATTATGTACACTATTTACATTATTCGGACTATTGTCTTCATCTTTGTCGCCATATTTATTACAACGTTTCAGCCCTTCAGTATCTGTCTATATTTCTGAGATCAGGTATTATGTACACTATTTATTATTCGGACATTATCTTTGTCGCCATATTTATTACAACGTTTCAGATCTGTCTATATTTCTGAGATCAGGTATTATGTACACTATTTACATTATTCGGACTATTGTCTTCATCTTTGTCGCCATATTTATTACAACGTTTCAGCCCTTCAGTATCTGTCTATATTTCTGAGATCAGGTATTATGTACACTATTTACATTATTCGGACTATTGTCTTCATCTTTGTCGCCATATTTATTACAACGTTTCAGCCCTTCAGTATCTGTCTATATTTCTGAGATCAGGTATTATGTACACTATTTACATTATTCGGACTATTGTCTTCATCTTTGTCGCCATATTTATTACAACGTTTCGGCCCTTCAGTATATGTCTATATTTCTGAGATGAGGTATTATGTACACTATTTACATTATTCGGACTATTGTCCTCATCTTTGTCGCCATATTTATTACAACGTTTCAGCCCTTCAGTATCTGTTTATATTTCTGAGATCAGGTATTATGTACACTATTTACATTATTCGGACTATTGTCTTCATCTTTGTCGCCATATTTATTACAACGTTTCGGCCCTTCATTATCTGTCTATATTTCTGAGATCAGGTATTATGTACACTATTTACATCGTTTGCACTATTGTCCTCATATTTGTCGCCATATTTATTACAACGTTTCAGCCCTTCAGTATCTGTCTATATTTCTGAGATCAGGTATTATGTACATTATTTACATTATTCGGACTATTGTCTTCATCTTTGTCGCCATATTTATTACAACTTTTCGGCCCTTCAGTATCTGTCTCTATTTCTGAGATGTGGTATTAAGTACACTATTTACATTATTCGGACTATTGTCCTCATCTTTGTCGCCATATTTATTACAACGTTTCGGCCCTTCAGTATCTGTCTATATTTCTGAGATCAGGTATTATGTACACTATTTACATTATTCGGACTATTGTCTTCATCTTTGTCGCCATATTTATTACAACGTTTCAGCCCTTCAGTATCTGTCTATATTTCTGAGATCAGGTATTATGTACATCATTTACATTATTCGGACTATTGTCTTCATCTTTGTCGCCATATTTATTACAACGTTTCGGCCTTTCAGTATCTGTCTATATTTCTGAGATGTGGTATTAAGTACACTATTTACATTATTCGGACTATTGTCCTCATATTTGTCGCCATATTTATTACAACGTTTCGGCCCTTCAGTATCTGTCTATATTTCTGAGATCAGGTATTATGTACACTATTTACATTATTCGGACTATTGTCTTCATCTTTGTCGCCATATTTATTACAACGTCTCGGCCCTTCAGTATCTGTCTATATTTCTGAGATCAGGTATTATGTACATTATATACATTATTTGGACTATTGTCGCCATATTTATTACACCTTCAGTGGGATGAAGTTGAAATAATAGACGGAAAACTTAAGAAATCAACGCATAATCTAGGCAACAAAAATCTCCTAAGCTGGCCAAGCATCGACATGATTACAATATGGGAACCAATATTACAGAGAACTAGAGAAAATAATAATAACAAAAAAAAATGTAATATGAACTCTGGTAAAAAACAAACAAACAAAAACCAAAAAAAAACTGTTACTGAGACATAAGCTTTATACATCCTTGTACAAATTAATTGAAACAGCCGCTTTAGTTTCCTTTCTTTCGTCATATGGTCACTTTTAGACCCACTGTAGTGACAGGGTGTAATCGATTACTATTTTTTCCTCAGATTAGGTCATTTGCAGTAATATGAATATATTTTCTGGGTGTATGGTGAAATTTGTTTGGCCTGGAAAAATATTGCGTCATCTGGGATTGTATCAGATTTTTATCACACCCAGACACTATTGTCTCGACTGTCTATTAGTTGTCCTACGGTCATTTTCTGCGATGGATGTTACTCCAAGCAAGCATACGAAAATTTACGCTGCACGAACACAATCCTTACTACTGTGAAAAGTGCTATAGACTGGCCCGGAAGCTCTCTTGATTTAAATCCAATCGACAATCTGTGGTCAATCTGCAAGGAACGACTTCGTGGAATGGACATAGGAAGTACTAATATGTTCACTGTGTCATGTTTCATTGAAAAAATGCAAAAAAAGATAAACAATAACGGAATTATTCGTTTTGTTTCAATTAATTTGCACAAGGCTGTAAGTCCCCAAAAACTCACTCACATGTCCCAGTTGATAAAAACGTCAGTTGAAAAATGACTTGACCCAAAGAGTTGTGAGTTCAATACCTAGCCACAGCAGAGGGAAGAAAAACTTGGAGAGTTGAGTTAAAGGGAGATAACTGATACTGGTATATCCAAAAAAAGAAATGACAGGTGAAATTAGATTAATCTACACCCGTGGACTAAATAAAGGGTACATTTTGAAATTCCAATGTATCACCTGAAGAAGGCCGGAGCGTACAAATCTACTGATTTAAATCCAATCGAGAATCTATAGTCAATCTAAAAGGAAAGATTTCGTAGAATGGACATACGAATTACTAACATGTGCGTTGGATTATGTTATATTAAAAAAATACGAAATAGTGGTAAATAATAACGGAATTATTCGTTTTGTTTCAATTAATTTGCACAAGGGTGAAGATGATCATGACTCTCCACATCTTCTTCTATTTGCACACGTGTGTATATAGCAGAAGTACAAGCTTATAATAATGTAAACTTTAGATATATAAATTCGAACTTAAAATTAATATCTTAATTTTTAAATCAATTGCCGATTATTCTTAGGATTTTATCAAGTAAAATTACACCACTTCAGGGTGCCTCCGACACAAACGACAGCTGACCTTTCCCGGTAAGATGGACGAGCATAGAGACAACTTGGCCTTGCATGTCCAGTCGGTGAGTAGCTGAGAAAGGGACTTCGTAACGTCAGTATACGAATTGTTGCACAAAAGTTGCGTATTATCTACCATGTATTCAGTTGCGAAAGCAGAATAACATATATCATATTTGTATTACTTCAAAGCTCCCAAGAAAATTAAATTTCTGCTTTAAATGACCCATTAAGATTTGATGTACCGTTAAACAAAGAAAACAAGGATGGATATAGGCAATAAAACCGCGTAATGAGTTCGGTTCGAAATTCAATAGAAATTTTTGTTGCTTGCCTCATTCTAAACAACCTCCAAATGAATATATTCTGAGCCGTTTGCTTTTGAAATATGGACAAATATTTCGAAAAACATTGCAGATGATTTGTTTCTGAATACAAAAGAAACGTTTACTTAAAGTCAGTGACCAGAAGACCTATACGATCATCCGTTAACTGAAGCGTACAATTGATGGTGCTCTATCCTACTTTGTCTTCCAGCATTCTGATGCATATGTAGGGACACTCATGGCGTGGATCTTGAACATCCTCATGCTGGTGTTGACAAAATCACAGTAAATGGCCATCGTAAAACAGCCGAAACGTAGTGAATATGGCAACGAAGATGAGGTCAATAGTCCGAATAATGTAAATAATTGCAATACCTCATCTCAGAAATATAGATAGATCTTGAAGAAGGCCGCAGTGTACAATAGTCGAAACGTGGTGAATATTGCAATGAAGATGGGGACAACAGACCGAACAATGTATATAGTGTAAATAATTACAATACCTCATTTCAAAAATCCTGAATAAAGGCGCAGCGTAAAACGGTCGAAACGTCGTCAATATGGCATCGAAGTTGAGGACAACTCTTCGAGTAATGTAAATAGTGTAAATAATTGCTATACCTCATTTCAGAAATATAGACAAATCCTGAAAAAGCCACAGTGTACAACAGTCGAAACGTAGTGAATATGGCAACGAATAGTCTGAACAATGTAAATAATGTAAATAATTACAATACCTCATCTCAAAAATATAGACAGATCCTGAATAAAGGCACAACGTAGAACGGCCGAAACGTCGTCAATATGTCAACGAAGATGAGGATAACACTCCGAACAATGTAAATAGTTTAAATAATTGCAATCCCTCATCTCAGAAAAATAGATATATCCTGAAGAAGGCCGCAGCGCACAACAGTGGAAACGTAATGAATATGGCAACGAAGATGAGGACAATAGTCTGAACAATGTAAATAGTGTAAATGATTACAATACCTCGTTTCAAAAATATAGACAAATCCTGAAGAAAGCCGTAGTGTACAACAGTCGAAACGTAGTGAATATGTCAACGAAGATGAGGACAGTAGTCTAAATAATGCAAATAGTATAAATACTTGCAATACCTTATCTCAGAAATATAGACAAAATGTACGTTTAAAGTAAATTCTTCCATTTATTACTGTGGCATGTTACTGGTGATCGAGCAGCTGACCTTTCCCGGTAAGATGAACGAGCATAGAGACATCTTGGCCTTGCATGTCCAGTCGGTGAGAAGCTGAGAAAGGGACTTCGTAACGTCAGTATACGATTTTTTCTATTTCAATTCGTTAAGTTTGAAGTTTCTACTTCATGCAAAAATCGATGGCTTTTTTTTTTATATATTTGAGTTAGCAAAATATACTTCTTTTGCAGTTTAAGACAATTATTAAATAAATATTTTTTTAAAACCCTGAGTGAACCGCGGATAACTGGGAACAGAAGCCGAGATCGCGGATAAATTTAACAGGAATCACTTCCTGCGACTTATATAGCAGCCCAGATTAACCTCCACCCAAAATATATATTTTAGCCTAATTCAGAAAAACCAGCGGGTAGGATTTGGGTTAGCCTACTTCATACATCGGGGTATAAATAGACCAGTCTAAGTTTTTGCTTTAGGCTTGGTTATACCCGCTTTTACTATTAACCACAATTAATCTTAGATCGGAAGTTATTTGATCACTTATATATAGTACTGCTCATTTAGTGCTCAGATTGTTTCCACTGAACCCAAGTGATTACGATGTCAACAAAATTCACGATCCGATCCACTAGGCTATTGTTCTATAGGGCAATTCCCAGTGGAGAACATGGAGCCGTAAACCTATCCTGCCTGCTGATGAGTGGTCTTTCTTCTTCTCATGTTTGACTACACTACCGAACTGCTGCTGGTATTGAAGATTTGCTGTCATAAGGCCTTTATTTATTTATAAAAGGGGATTGTAGTAAAACAATTGTGAGCTGACTCCCTGGGCCGGGTTCTGTGTAATTGCAATCGGTGACAATAGGGCGTTATAAAAAGAACTATACGAAATATGGCCAGTAAAACGACAACAACCTACTCCCGTAGATTAAATAAAGGGTTCTGTTCCGAATTCCCTGTAAGTTACATGGATCGACATATATCGGGTGAAGGCCGCAGCGTACAACGGCCAAAACATAGTAAATGTGGCAATAAAGACGAATACAATAGTCCGAACGATGTAAATAGATAAATAGTTACACTACCTCATGCCAGAAATATAGATAGATCCTGAAGAAAGCAGGAGAGTACAACAGACAACAGCCGAAATGTCGTGAATATGGCCACAAAGATAAGGAAAACAGTCTGAACAATGTAAATAATGTAAATAATTGCAATACATCATTTCAGAAATATAGACAGATCCTGAAGAAGGCAGGAGTGTACAACAGACAACAGCCGAAATGTCGTGAATATGGCATCGAAGATGAGGAAAACAGTCTGAGCAATGTAAATAATGTAAATAATTACAATACCTCATCTCAGAAATATAGATATATCCTGGAGAAGGCTGCAGCATAGAACGGATGAAGGCCAGAAGGCACAATGGTCGAAACGTTGTCATAACAACAACAATAATTAAGAAAACAGTCCTCATCCCAGAAATTCAGAATGCTATTCAGTATAAAAACTTCTTTATCGTAAAATCTTTTCTTGATTGTGGGAATAGCAAAGAACAATCAGAAACAAAATAATGGTTTAGACCAAGACAAAAAAAAAAAAATATATATATATATATTAATACTGTCCTGGGTATGAAGATAAACTACATCCGCGTCCTGGGTAAGACGATAAACTACATCCAAGGCCAAGCAAGGCCTTTGATCAGAAGATTTTAAGGAGCGTGGAACACCATCTTGTTTGCTGGTGTTGCCAGAGCCACCCTGACCAGGGTTGGTAACACCTGTCAGGGTCACAGCTATGGGCAAATAGTTAACACCCCGCCATGCACACAAAAGGGGTCAAAACACTATGAAAGCATAAAAATAGGTTTTTAATACTGGCAATATATTTTTGGAAATTTTTTTACCAGCAATACATTTATGAAAAAAAAAAATTACCAGCAATAAACTTTTGAAAAAGAAAATATTACCACTAATAAATTTAAAAAAATATATATTACCAGCCATACATATTTGAAAAAAAATTACCAGCAATACACTTTTGAAAAAGAAAATATTACCAGCAATACATTTTTGAAAAAAAATATAACTAGCAATACAATTTTGAAAAAAAAAATATTCCCATTAATACATTTTTGAAAAAAAAAATATTACCACCAATATATTTTTAAAAAAATATATTACCAGCAATACATTTTTGGAAAAATATATTACCAGCTATACATTTTTGAAAAAAACATATTACCAGCATTAAATTTTTGAAAAAAAATATTACCAGCAATAAATTTTTGAAAATATATATTACTAGCAATAAATTTTGAAAAAAAATATTACCAGCAATACATTTTTGAAAAAAAAAAATTACCAGCAATACATTTTTGAAAAAAAAAAAAAATTGAGGAATACATTTTTATAAAAAAATATATTATCAGCAATACATTTTGAAAAAAAATTACCAGCAATAGATTTTTTTTTTTAAATTACAGAATACATTTTTTTTTAAAGTATTACCAGCAATACATTTTTGAAAAAAAATATTAACAGCAATACATTTTTGAAAAAAATTACCAGCAATACATTTTTGAAAAAAAATATTACCAGAATACATTTTTGAAAAAAAAATATTACCAGCAACACATGTTGGAAAAAAAAAATATTACCAGCAATAAAAATCTTGTCGGCATTAAATAAAACAAACTAAACCAAATGAAAACAAAACAAAATGAATAGCCACCCTGAAGTTAGATTATATTTTATCCACTGGTTACATTTTAGTTTAGTCCATTATATGCCAGGGGTCTATGAACACCCCTGGGCAAACTTACACAGTATAACACAACATAACCATAATATGCACAGGTGCACTCTTTTATGAAGTTATGATAAGGTCTGTTGCAGTGAATGCTAAAAATATTCATGAAATGTAGACAGATGTTAATTTAGGAATGAATCATTTATTTATTGTCTTTTACAAGTTTAATTCTGATCCTAATGTAATTTGATGAGTAGAATAACACGCTGTCAATAAGAATTAATTTTAAGCAATAATAATAGCACCAGTAGAAGTCTAATAATATGCAATTATTGCATTTCTAGCTTAATGTTGTATTTTTACGTCATTTGATGATCGTATGCGCAAAAAAAAAAAAACGTTAATTCCGATTCATTTTGTTTTTTACAGCTTATCAACTTTTTTTCAAGTTACTTAATGCGATAAAATATCTTTTTGCAAAATTTGGGGGATAATAATTATTTTTTACCGATAAAGTTTTAGATAATTAACCCTATGTGTACTTTTTTGATTTCAGTATAAAGCGGGTCATTAAATCCCTTTGTGAGTTAAGTGTAAAACTACACCCGAGTCTATTTCTAGATCCAAGTCTAAGATTGAATGTAGATATTATTTTATGACTCTAGTGTAAACTGGAGCAATATCTATTTGTGTGAGTTTTCTTTGAACAGGAATTTTGTCTAGCTTTTTGATTCTAGTGAAAATCGCACGTATTTATGTCTTTCTGAGATTAGTGAAAAGCCTGTTTCTACATATTTTCTGGCTACATTTCGAATCGAACCAGTATATACTTGTTTGAATGCTGCAAATTGTACTGGGGTCTACGTCTAACAAGATTTGTCTTCGACACTAAATAATATGGAAACGGTAGCCATGTCATTAAATTAACCCACCTCACTTTCCATTTATTTCTGTTTACTCCACCATTTCTTCCTTCCATTCTTTCTTTCATTTGTCTTTCTTTCTTTCTTTCTTTCTTTCTTTCTTTCTTTCTTTCTTTCATTTCTCTTTCTTTCTTTCTTTCTTTTCTTTGCTTTTTTCTTTCTTTCTTTTCTTTCTCTTTTTTCATTTCCCTTTCTTTCATTTCTGTTTTTTTCTTTCATTATTCTTTCTTTCTTTCTTTTCCTTGCTTTTTCTTTCTTTCTTTCGTTCTATCTTTCATTTCCCTTTGTCATTTCTCTTTCTTTCTTCCATTTTTCTTTCTTTCTTTTCCTTGCTTTTTCTTTCTTCATGTCTCTTTCTTTCTTTCTTTCTTTCTTTCTTTCTTTACTTCTTTCTTTTTCTCTTACTGTCTTTCTTTCTTGCTTTCTTTCATTTCTCTTTGTCATTTCTCTTTCTTTCTTCCATTTTTCTTTCTTTCTTTTCTTTGCTCTTTCCTTTCTTTCTTACATTTCTCTTTCTTCCATTTCTCTTTCTTTCTTTCATTATTCTTTCTTTCTTTCTTTTTTCTTTCTTTCTTTTCCTTGCCATTTTCTTTCTTTCTTTAATTCTTTCTTTCTTTCATTTCTTTTTCTTTCTTCCATTTTTCTTTCTTTCTTTTCCTTGATTTTTCTTTCTTCATGTCTTTCTTTCTTTCTTTTTTCTCTTACTGTTTTTCTTTCTTTCTTTCTTTCTTTTATTTCTCTTTGTCATTTCTCTTTCTTTCTTCCATTTCCCTTTCTTTCTTTTCTTTGCTTTTTCTTTCTTTCTTTTATTTCTCTTTCTTTCATTATTTTTTCTTTTTTGTTTGTTTGTTTCTTTCTTTTCTCTTTCTTTCTTCCATTTTTTCTTTCTTTTTATTGTTTCTTTCCTTGCATTCTTTCTTTCTTTCTTTCTTTGATTTTATATCTATATTTTCGGGTTGTATGTACGAAGGTTTCTCATGACATGCCCTCTGTCACCCATGACTTTATTTAAAAAAAAAACAAAACTTCCGCCTTTTTCTCTTTCTCCACCCCCAATAACTTGCCCCCAGTGTTTTTATCGCTCCTAATGTCCAGCAAATTTCATGCCCGAATGTCGATGCCTGATTAATAGCTTGTGACATTCGACCGTCGAATAAAAGGAAATGAAAATACAGAAAACTATACTTCAGACGGGAAAATAGACGATATTATTTTATTATTTTTAAGTCATTTCCCTCCAGGAAAGGCAATAAAGCCACCACGACGAAAGCTGGGTACTGAAAAAAAAAAATGAGAAACACAATTTTATTTTAAGGAGAGAGAACAACAAAAAAGGAAGAAAAAAAAAACAGGAATTGAGATGACAAAAGATAATTTTTAGAGTTCAAAGTTGAGTGGAAAACAAGAAGGCGGGAAAAATTCCCACAAGTGCGAGAGACGAAACGTACCATGGAACTTACGTTCGCATCTAACCATTTCAATTGTAAAATAATGAGACCTTACCGCCAATCTAGTACCGCGCTTAAATTGATAAAGTCTAGGTGCTAAATAGAAAAAAAAACTCACCAGGAAATTTACCTTGAAATTATTTATAAGAAAGACACAGGGAAGCTATGTTACAACGACGAGAAAAATGACTGAAGCTGCGATGCCAGGCCCAGACTGATAACATTGCAGATTCTTCTTTGTATTTTATCAAGAATCTGGAAACCCAAAATAGAGACACCAGATCAAATGTGGTAGCATGGACCTTTCGAAAATATTTAGTATCCACTTTATTGTCTAGACGTGAAGATGAAAATTGAATTTGAAAATAACACACACACACACATACATATATATATATATATATATATATATATATATATATATATATATATATAAATATATGCAGGATGCGTGTGTGTGTGTGTAACGAATCCATGGCCGCAATTTTCAATTTTCGACGGATTTGCACCAAAATTTACATGCACATGCTCCAAGTTAGCAGGAAGGCCAAGACCGACATTGCATTTCCCAACTCCCATCGATAGTGTAAATAATCGATATTTTCATGCTTCTACGACAGTTTTCATGTAGTTTGCGGCCATTTTGTAAATATTTAAGTAAATGCTCTGTTTATAATAAACTGTATTAAACAACATTTACCGGCCTGAATGTCCGAGAAATTTTGTATCTATAAAAAGTATGTATAAACACAAAAATGTCTTTAAAATAATTGTCGGACTTTGTCCATTTCATAATGTGTGACGTCATTTGTTTACATTTGGATACGCATCGAGCAGATATGAATGTACATGAGAAAATCATGGAAAATTGTAGTTTAAAGACAGCAAAATCGACCTTGCTAACCAAACGCCCCTCTGTAGCTCAATCGGTTAAGACACGTCAGGCCATAGATGGTTCCGTATAGGATACAGTTTCGATTCCTGTCGGAGGACGAATGTTTTCTATGAAAATTTCTCGGACATTCAGGCCGGTAAATGTAATTTAATACTGTTTATTATAAACAGAGCATTTACTTTAATATTTGTATCTATAAAATGAATGTATAAACATAAAAATGTCTTTTTTTTTTTTATTTTTTATATATATATATATATATATATATATATATATATATATATATATATATATATATATATATATATATCCGACAGTATGAAGAAAAATATATACGGAAAAAAACAAAACAAAATCCTTATATACGATAATGTTGTTTTAATGTTAATATTTTTATGAGATTAATGCTCGACAAGCGAGATGTTAATGTTAATTTTTTAGCGAGATTAATGCTCGACAAGCGTACATATAAATTTTAGTTCAAAATAGAATTCTTTTCATTTTTCATTCAAAATACTCAAAATTGTAGGAATACGTTTTCACAGCGTCGCCCACCTGACGACAACGTGACCATGTTTTAAACAGCGCGCTGATCTTATAAAATTTTCAGTTATCTGTTTGGATAAGTCTTGTTCTAATGTACATCGTCTTTGTCATGTTGTATTGATAATGTTATATTTATGAATATGTCCTGAAGATGTTTTATTAGACCGAAACGTCAGACGTTGACATATTAACATTAAAACAACATAATCGTATA